GCTGCAGGTAAAGGGCTGGGGGATAAGTAGGCTCCCGCTGATGAGTGTGAGTTTCCTGAGAAACCCTGCTAGTAACCACTCAGTCCCGATCTGCTGACACTCCCCCGTGGAAATGTTTTGAACAAATAATCCCCCCTGGAAGGAAGGGAGACTTGGTGAGGCTTCACTTGGGCACTTACCCTCTAAAGTGTAGGTGGTGGTTTAAGAAAAGTCTGTTCACTGATGCTTACTCAAGGGTCCCATTGCCCTGTGGCTGGCCGTGCTCTCTTCAGGGTGCTGTAGCCTTCGAGAAGCAGGGTGTCTGTCTGCTTTTCTGTTCCTTGGGCCCTTCTGGAGTTTTTTGGTGTGGCAGGGAGAAGGTTACTGTGCCGACTTACAGGACCTGAAATAGCAGCTATTACGTGTATACAAACTCTGTTAAAGGCCCCAGCTCTGTTGGCGGCTTACTGAGAGTAGATGATGGAAGGACTGCATGCTGGTCACACGTTGTGGTTCTAGGGGTTGTGATGCTTGAGTTCAAAAGTTCAAACTTTGACTTGTAACTCAGCATAAAATGCACGCTTGCGGGTGAAGTCCTTCATAAGTCTGTGATGGTGCCTGAGCACTTTCTTTTGTTACTTTAATTGCCGCACTTGAAAGCAGCTGCTCCTTGCCAGAAGCAAGTGTGGAGCAGACCCTGCACTTGCCAGCCCTGTCGGAACAGAGCAGCACCCTCAACTCATTCTCCTTGGTGGAGGGTGCTGGAGATGAGGCTATGCCCCTGGTTCCTGACTTTCCACTACACCTCACCATTTCTGTGAGGAGCCTGTTGCAACAAGACCGCAACAAGCAGTACTTCTGAAGCACCTGCTGTAGCTGGGGCTTTTCCAGTTAACTTTTATGTTACTGGTGTCTGTTAGGCAAGGAAAGTGATTGTCTTTTCTAAAACAAGCAATACTTACTGTTATTTTCTTCCTGAGTTGCCCTCCCACAGCATTGCTGTGTGCTCTGTTTCAGGGTGCTACTGTCATCAGACACTACTCTGGCTCTGAAAACACCGTCCCTTCATCTGGAAAAGATGAGTTACCCAACCACATGGTCAATGCTGCGTCAAAGCAAGGGTTTTCTATCTACATAGATGAGCCAGAACAGAGAGAGAACTACAGCTGCCAAGTGGCTGAGGAGCTGGAATCAAGCCTGTGTGAGCTGGATACTAGTGCAATGACATCCAGCGTTCACCTATTGCTGGATCTGAGTACAGGTAACTCCTGTTACTATTAAGCACAAGTGATGCTGGTAAGCTAGTGAGTAGCTTATGTTACAATAAATAACACTTCTAGATAACTTGGATTGTATTGTATTTTTTGGATTGTATGAGGTAGAACACTTCTGTGCTAGAAATACCAGGAGAAGGTGGAGAGGCTGATTACACAAATGCCTTACTGGTTCCTCTTACCTGCTAGGATCTCCTATGATAGTGGACACATCCTTCCAGTCCCAACCTGAGGATCACATGGGAGATGACATAACCCTGACTGTGGGAGAGTATGCGGAAGACATTCATCAGTACCTCCGAGAAGCTGAAGTGAGTGACTTGTAACAAGCTTGTAGATATTTGTGGTCTGTATGGTGGGCTGCAATACTGCAAAGATGTATAGTTGCCCCTGGATAACTTGAGGCTGCCATTGAGCTACAAAGGAGAGAAAGCAAGCAGTAAAAGCCATCTCTGAAACTAGAATCATAAGCAGCTTCTAGACAGTGATAAGGTCCTTCAGGATTATTCTGCATGCCAGAAATACCCCACTGTTAGAGCATCTCTTGACTGCTTGAAATCCTTGAAGAATTCTTGCAGATGAGTTGAATGCTGCAAAAATACTAAAGCAGCTGGATGTGATCTCACTGATAGTGCTCTTGATACAGTAGCAATTTTTCCTATCTTCCTGTATCAGGAGTAAAGTGCAGTCTCACAATAGGAAAAGGGAGAAAAATGCGATTTCTTTACTTTTAGGTCCCTCTGGCTCATATGTGCTTGATGGCAAAGACTGTCCATAGTTCAGGAGGTCTTTTACTATTCTGCTACTAACACAGTAGCTCCTATCTCTTCAAAAACACTACTTTCTAGAAATGCTGCTAGCTGCTAAATAATACTACTAGCACGATAATTAGTTAGTAGTAATGAGTGAGGTGGAACAACTCATGCTCCTTTTAGTGTAAGTATAAAGAATGTTAATCATCTCAGCCATCAACAGTTGTCTTCAGGGTGAGTGTCCTGATTCTTCAACTCTCTCTCCAAACAGATAAGATTCAGGCCCAAGCCCTACTACATGAGGAAACAACCAGATATCACAACAGGAATGCGTGCCATCTTGGTAGACTGGTTGGTGGAAGTAGGGGAAGAATATAAACTTCGGACAGAGACTTTATATTTGGCAGTGAACTTCCTGGACAGGTTTCTTTCCTGCATGTCTGTTCTCAGAGGGAAGCTGCAGCTTGTAGGAACAGCAGCAATTCTTCTGGCTGCGTAAGTGTTTATCATCTCCTGAAATCTCAGTGAGCTAAAACCTATTTTTGGACTCAGTCTTTTAGTATAACTTGAAGGACTGAAGCTTGCAGTGGTAGGTAGCTTTATCTCAAGATTAGCAACTTTATCTACTTTGGTACTGGCAAAATTAAACCTTTAATATTTGTGATGTGAGGAACTGTAGTGGGAA